CCGTTTTAACGTAGCAGTCTATTCAAGCCACGGAATAAAATAATAAAAAATGTCATTTTGAGTTTATATTTCAAAATTCGGACTTTTTTTCTTGAAATTCCGAGATTATATCTCACAATTCTGGTGAGAAAAATCAACTCGTCATTCTTTCTTGTTAGTTTATAATCCCACACTTCTGGCTTTTTTTTCCTCAGAATTGACAAACTCGCAATTGTTGACTTGAATAAAGTTATAAAGTCCGAACTAGGAGATATAAACTTGCATTAGCAAGAAAAATAGTCAGAATTTTGAGATAAAATAGGTACATTTTATGTCAAATGTTATAGGTTTAATAGTATTTCATGCATGTATTTCAACTGTAGGGCTAACACAATATGTCCCCTATATGAATATTATATAGACCTATTGTTTAAATCAAATTTATGCTTTAAAAGTAGGGTAATCAGGTTTCATCCATTCCATAGTCTGTCCGTTTAAGCGTCTGCATTTAGCTTCAAATGGCGTCTTTGACGACAGTGTTATATAAAAATTATTTGCATTCCGATTCTGACATCCAAAGGCACAACGATACATTTTTTCTCTTATTCCATAGATTTTACTCGTTTCCGTGTTTTCTGCAACCACTATGCGCGCGCAGCTGCAAGTGACGTAACTGTGACGTCTACTCTAAATTGGTCTATAGTCGTATTGCAGATGAGCCACTGATAGCACACGTACATCACGGAGACGTCTATTTAACATCTGCAAGATGTATTTTTTAGAGTGTTTGCTCATCTGCAGTACATCTATAGGACGTTTCCTATCAGATGTCAAATAGACGTTTAGAAGATGTCTTTAAGATGTTTATGATTTAGAATGTATGTAAAACTGACATCTTAAAGACATCTGTCAGATGTTTTTGTACACCGCAGATGCTTTGCAGATGAAGAGATCTTTAACAGACATCTAGCTATCAGGGAAGTAATACCATGGTAGCTATAACTACTATATTTTCGGTTATATGGTTATTTGTCATTATTAGACGTGATCTTGCTCATTTTTTAACCTATACTGCATGTTATCAGGTGAAGGAAAACAACTACCGAGGGCATGGAGACAGTGTGGATCAGCTGTGCTGGCATCCCACCAACCCTGATCTGTTCGTCACCGCATCAGGAGACAAGACCATCCGCATCTGGGACGTACGGACCACCAAATGCATGGCCACGGTCAGCACCAAAGGTGAAGCGCTAAACCTTATCTGTCATATCTGTTGTTCTTATGAAGTTTATTCATATGTGGGATTTTCTATGACAACTTTTAGGGGAGAATATCAACATTTGTTGGAGTCCTGATGGTCAGACCATTGCTGTCGGCAACAAGGATGATGTTGTGACCTTCATTGATGCCAAGACGCACCGTCCCCGTGCCGAGGAGCAGTTCAAGTTTGAGGTCAATGAGATCTCCTGGAATAATGACAATGACATGTTCTTCCTGACGAACGGAAATGGCTGTATTAATATATTAAGGTATGTTCAGTTGTAGTTGTAACAAGCTGTTGGTGTGCGGAACATTTTGGTGATTTCATGAAATCGGTTGTCATGTTTGTGTCCGTTTCAGTTACCCTGATCTCAAGCTCATACAGTCAATTAATGCCCATCCGTCCAACTGCATCTGCATTAAATTTGATCCCACGGGCAAGTATTTTGCCACAGGAAGTGCAGATGCGCTAGTCAGCCTGTGGGATGTGGAGGAGCTGGTGTGTGTGCGCTGCTTCTCCAGGTCAGTTCATCATAATTTTGACTTTATGTAAGAATTTGACCTTTTGTCTCACAATTATGACTTTGCTATGTCATCATTTTGGCTTTTTGTCAGAAGTTTGAACGCTTATCTCATAACTATGACTTAGTGTGTCATAATTTTGACTTTTCATTTCATATATTTTACATTTTATGCCTAGGGTTGCAAAAAGGTGGAACATTTCCAGTAAATTTTGGAAATATTCCAGAAATTTTGGAAACTTTACAGGATTTTTTTGGAATATTCCAGGGATTTTTGGAAAGTTTCCGAAAATTTTCCACCCCTTTGCAACCCTATTTATGCCATAAAGACCTTCTGAAATAAGTTTTTGAAAGACTTTTGTTTCATAATTAGGTCTTTTTGTCACAATTTTGATGGCTTGTCTCATAATTTGGATTTTTAATCTCAGTTATGACTTAGTATGTCATAAATTGACACAAGTATGACTTTTTATCTCATGGTTTTTAAGTCATTAATTTTTTTTTTAAATAGACTTAAAAGATTTGTTTAGACTTTTTATCAATTTCTACTTATGTCATAATTTTGACTTTTTATGTCATAATTTTTCTAATAATCTTGACATAGTATGTCATAATTTTGATTTTTTCTCATATTTATGACTAATTTCTTTTCTAGGTCAGTTGATGCAGTGTTCTTATTGTTAATTAAAACAGTCTGAAATAAAATATAAAGTTTAGGTGGAAAAACCATAAATTAGAATTGTTGCCTTGGCAACTAACTGAAATTAAGTTTAAGTTACTACTAAAATTTACTAAAACGGAGAAAAACTTTAAGGCTAAACAGAAATATAAAAAAAATAATAAAAATGGCAAAAGTGTAAAACAACACCTAAAGCTAAAATCATCTGAAAATCAAAAATACAAGCTTATTCAAAATATTAATATTGTATTTACTTTGAATTTTGTGTATAGATAGATAGATTAGAATATTGTGTGAATACTGTGTTTGTCACTTTCAATTTCTTTCAAAGAGATCAGAGTTCATTGATTGTAATTTGTTGGCAGACAAGCACATTCGCCTTATTTTCACTTTACATTAAATAACATTTTCATAATATTTTGAATCCCACAACAGACTCGACTGGCCTGTGCGGACGCTTAGTTTCAGTCATGATGGGAAAATGCTGGCGTCAGCCTCTGAGGATCATTTCATTGACATTGCTGAAGTAGAGACGGGTGAGCAGACATATTTTGAAATGATTGTGAAAGCTTGAATTGTGTTTTCTGTCTGACTGATGGTTGTTTCGTGTTCTTGCTGTAGGTGAGAAGCTCTGGGAGATTCAGTGCGAGTCTCCGACCTTCACTGTAGCGTGGCATCCGAAGAGACCGCTGCTGGCGTACGCCTGCGACGATAAAGAGGGCAAATATGACAGCAACCGAGAGGCAGGGACCGTCAAGCTCTTTGGACTTCCCAATGACTCCTGAGGACCAGAGTTTTCATGTGTTCAGGCGTATTCTGCCTCATTAGAGGTTTAATCGATGGCTCATTCGATATACTTGCTTTGTATTAGTTTTCTACTTGTTTTGAGGTGAATGGTGTAAATAGTTCAAAGATATTTTGATGTTCAGCTCTCATATTAGGAGTTCCTGAATGATCAAGGTATCATTTGCAAGTATAAATAACTACTGCCTGCAGCTCTTATACAGAAAAAAGGATAATGTTTATCCTTTTCCAAAAACTGGCTTGGCGACCAAGATAGAAGTCTAGTCTAAGTGGTTATCATATCTGTGTAGAAGACTTGAAAATCATTTGACTCGCAGAGCATGTTGTTGTTGTTGTTTCCCATAATTGACCATTGCCATTTTGTAAAAAAAGAAAATTTATGGAAATTTTTTTTCATTTATGGATTTTTCCATCTTGTTCAAATGCATGAGTAGTATCTCCAGTTTTAGAAATGACCAGCAGAGGGCATCACAAGCTCTGAGGAAACAAGGCATGGCATTGCTATGTCTAATACGGGCATTTTTGTATGTTTGCCTTTTTCTTTAATAGAAATAAACTATGTACTGTTTTTTTTTTTTTTTTTAATAAATTGTTTCATAAAGTATGACTGACCTAAAAGCCATATGACAAGTTACTGCGCTTTTTAATTTCATGATTAACACTGAAACCTTTTTTTTTTATTTTATTTTTTTTATTTTTTTCTCATATTTATGACTAATTTCTTTTCTAGGTCAGTTGATGCAGTGTTCTTATTGTTAATTAAAACAGTCTGAAATAAAATATAAAGTTTAGGTGGAAAAACCATAAATTAGAATTGTTGCCTTGGCAACTAACTGAAATTAAGTTTAAGTTACTACTAAAATTTACTAAAACGGAGAAAAACTTTAAGGCTAAACAGAAATATAAAAAAAATAATAAAAATGGCAAAAGTGTAAAACAACACCTAAAGCTAAAATCATCTGAAAATCAAAAATACAAGCTTATTCAAAATATTAATATTGTATTTACTTTGAATTTTGTGTATAGATAGATAGATTAGAATATTGTGTGAATACTGTGTTTGTCACTTTCAATTTCTTTCAAAGAGATCAGAGTTCATTGATTGTAATTTGTTGGCAGACAAGCACATTCGCCTTATTTTCACTTTACATTAAATAACATTTTCATAATATTTTGAATCCCACAACAGACTCGACTGGCCTGTGCGGACGCTTAGTTTCAGTCATGATGGGAAAATGCTGGCGTCAGCCTCTGAGGATCATTTCATTGACATTGCTGAAGTAGAGACGGGTGAGCAGACATATTTTGAAATGATTGTGAAAGCTTGAATTGTGTTTTCTGTCTGACTGATGGTTGTTTCGTGTTCTTGCTGTAGGTGAGAAGCTCTGGGAGATTCAGTGCGAGTCTCCGACCTTCACTGTAGCGTGGCATCCGAAGAGACCGCTGCTGGCGTACGCCTGCGACGATAAAGAGGGCAAATATGACAGCAACCGAGAGGCAGGGACCGTCAAGCTCTTTGGACTTCCCAATGACTCCTGAGGACCAGAGTTTTCATGTGTTCAGGCGTATTCTGCCTCATTAGAGGTTTAATCGATGGCTCATTCGATATACTTGCTTTGTATTAGTTTTCTACTTGTTTTGAGGTGAATGGTGTAAATAGTTCAAAGATATTTTGATGTTCAGCTCTCATATTAGGAGTTCCTGAATGATCAAGGTATCATTTGCAAGTATAAATAACTACTGCCTGCAGCTCTTCTACAGAAAAAAGGATAATGTTTATCCTTTTCCAAAAACTGGCTTGGCGACCAAGATAGAAGTCTAGTCTAAGTGGTTATCATATCTGTGTAGAAGACTTGAAAATCATTTGACTCGCAGAGCATGTTGTTGTTGTTTCCCATAATTGACCATTGCCATTTTGTAAAAAAAGAAAATTGATGGAAATTTTTTTTCATTTATGGATTTTTCCATCTTGTTCAAATGCATGAGTAGTATCTCCAGTTTTAGAAATGACCAGCAGAGGGCATCACAGGCTCTGAGGAAACAAGGCATGGCATTGCTATGTCTAATACGGGCATTTTTGTATGTTTGCCTTTTTCTTTAATAGAAATAAACTATGTACTGTTTTTTTTTTTTTTTTTAATAAATTGTTTCATAAAGTATGACTGACCTAAAAGCCATATGACAAGTTACTGCGCTTTTTAATTTCATGATTAACACTGAAACCTTTTTTTTTTTTTGGAAATACAAAGCACCATATTTTCATGCGAGTGTTATTTTAGTATTATTTGTCAACTATTATAGTATTTATAAATATTTTGAATTAGCTTTAATTTGAACTATTTTCATTTTAATTAAAGTTTTACTAATTTAGTAATGTGCTTTAGTCATTTTTATTAGTTAATTTTTTAATGAATTAATAATTTTTTTTATTTAGCTTTCATTTATTTTAAATTTTAGTAATATCTCAGTTAATTGCCAAGGCAACATTTCTCAAGTTCTTAATCTATTATTATTATTATTTAGTTTTATTAATGTATCTTGAAATAACAAAAATGTTTCAGTTACCAGTTAATTTTTTTATTTATATATATATATATATATATATATATATATATATTTAATGTTGGCCTGGATTTTTGATAGTCTATTTGTTTATTTATTTATTTGATAGTTTGTTTGTAGTAATAGAAAACATATATCTAAACTATTGCCTTTGTTTATCGTTGGGATTTATTATAAGAGCATCCTAAACTTGGAAGAAGCTTATAAAGTTCTGGTTACAGACTTAGCAGAATATGAAGTCATTGTCTGTGCTATATCATGATGGCAAGTTAAATATTTAGCCTTTCTCTGATTTTATTGCATATACCATACTAGGAGTTGTTAGAAAAAGTGTGACTATTTGTGTCTCTGGAGACCAAAGGACAGCAGCAGCTATTCTGATCTTTTCTGTTCTTCGGATCTTACTAAACGCCGATGTCGTGATTTCTCTGGGATGGCGGTGTGGTGGAGGGTCACTGGAGGTGCAGCACACAGTGGTAGTCTGTAGACTTGGAGCAGTCTCGGGTCAGCAGGCAATAGCTGGTAAGTGAGATTAGGTTCAGCCCCATCATTAATCTTCCTCCGTTGTGACAGACTTGCACAGCACGTGTGTCCTCCGTGCCCACTTCAGGAGCCTGTAGTCTGGCTGGTGGCAGCTGTCCTCACACTTCTTTGCTGATTCACCCCAGCAGGCTCCAGGATGTCTCACTTTGCCACTTCCTACATATGACCCGCTGCTTCAGGCATCCTTCGATTGCTGCTTAATTACATTTCATTTAGCAGAGCCCATTTCCCTTGTGATGTCCAGTTTCCAGGCTTTGGTTCATCACCATTATTTCCATCCCTTTTGTTTATGGTTGAGGATTTAAATCCATGTATTACTGTTAATCTTGCAGCCGCTCGTTATTTGTACAAAAGTCTGAACTAGTAGGATTTGTTTCTGTTTTATATTGTTCTAATTAAATGCAACCTTTTCCATTAACAATTTTATAAACTAATATAATATTATATAGCACTTAGTTTCGGTGTTCAAATTTGATTGGCTGAGCGGCTTAATAACATCATTATCAGGGCGGGTGACGTAGGCAAAATAAATGAATGAAAATTAAATAAGAAATAGGTGACATAGGCAAAGTAAATTAATTAAAATTAAGTAGGCTAAGGAATATGCTATTAAGTAAGGACTCCAGCATTGTGGCCACATTATGCATTATTTTTCTAATAATCACCAGACCGGAATTATTCCGACTATTACCACACCTCAAGACACTGTTCGAGTTTTATTTCAAGACATTTGTCAGGTTTTAGTTTAATTTAGCTCATCCCGATTCCCAAGCCCCCCGTTGCTAATTACAAAATGTCATGTTAGAGCTAATAACTTATATGCAGAGTAGGCTAATGCAGTTATTGGAAAGAGAGATGAACTGTGAATTACCTGAGTCTGTGCGTCTCTGGACAGCGTTCGGCATCAGCGTCTCTGCTAATAGCGAAACTGTAAGTTTAACTGCTTCAAAAACACCACCACACTGAGAAATGCCATGAAGCTTTTCAGCTGCGAATATATTTCATTGATAAATTCGCGGGGCAGTGCTGAAAACAAGTGCCTGTGCGCATGTGCGTTTGTATGGGCGAGAAAACGGGAGAAAAGGCGTGATTTCCGTCGGTAATAAAACGTAAGTATAGCTCCCAAAGGAAACTCACCTTTAGTAGGCCTATTTAATGGTGTGTATATATTTACATTATACACTGGACTGTGCAATAGCCTACATAATTACGGACTGTGCAATATAAGTTATATTGTTTATTTATTGATCTATTCTTGCGGCTATGTCGAGTTATGTGTTACTTTCTGTTCTGTATTTTGCTTGTTGAGTGTTATTTTGGAGTTGCCCATGAATTTCATTGTACAGCTAGCTGTGCAATGACAATAAAGGCATTTTAGAGTTTTTAAGGTTTCAGTTTAATTTTGACCAAAACAACAACTGATAATCTTTTATTGCATGCATTCCAAATATATGATTTCTAGAAAAAAAATCATTGGACTTTTGTTTCCAACCAATAAGAAATCTTCCCAGAAAGATGTCTTATTGGTTGGAAACAAAGGTCCAGTGACTTTTTCTAGAAATCACATTGTATTTGGAATGTTGTTGGATGAAAAAAGCAGAATTAATGGGTTACATTGGCACTCAGCTTCACATGCAAGATGTTAACTGATGGACTGGTGTGGATTATTGTGATGTTTTTATCAGCTGATTGGACTCTCATTCTCCAAATCTGTCATTTTTTCAGCAAATTTTCATTTTTGAGTGAACTACAAGCTACCTTTAAACATAACACTGGACATTACATTTAAATAGTTAATAGCTATTCTGATTAGCCTCTCTGATCTTTTTTTTTTTTAACGTGACTATGACTTTTATATGACTCTTTTATATGACTAAATATGTTTATTGATATTTTTCATCAAATATGGTGTGGCATTTTACATACAGTGGATCCAGAATTCTGCCTGATTTTGTTAGAATGTTTCGATTTTGGATGTTCTATAGTTCTAAAATTGTTTAACATTTGCATAATGTATTGTAAAAGAATGAGTCATAATTTTATGATGGTTATAAAATCAGATGATGAGGGGTTTTGCGTTTAAATGAACTCAGATATATTAAGAATAGAAGTATAATCTGAATAGCCACCAGTGATAAAATAAATGACTGAGGGAGAATGCGTTTTATCAGGACTGCTGACATGAGGAAGATAATGTGAATGTGCAGTGTTGAAGATATAGTTTTTATATATTTACCATCTATAGAAAGTACGCTTTTACCAGCCAAAATGCAAAAAGTCAAATGTGCCTTTTTACTATTATTTCTCTACGCCTTTATTTTTCATAATTCATGTAACAATGAAATTGTGTTCAAATTGACCTACATATGTCATAATAAAACACCATAGTTAAACCACAGCAGAACACACACAAATGAAGAGGCAGAAGTAAAATGCTTTCTGATTTTCTCTGTTAAAATGACATGACACATTTTCGTATCTCCCCTAATTTCCATTTCAATAGACAGAGCTTCCAGGTCCCTTATGAGACTCTCTCGGTCCCTCAGGTCTTAATGGATTAGTTTCTCCACCAGACATATTATTGGCTTTCGTTACTCTTCCACGTTGTCTTTCAGTCTATGCTCCAGTAATTTATGGGTCTTGATGTGAAACAAAACATTTTTTACATGCAATTTATTAGCAGCCCAACAGTAACCTTTGCTATTCAACAATTCAGCCTCTCAGAACGTTGTTTTTTCAACAGCTTTGGAATGAATTCGATTTGCAATTCACATGCAGGAGCAATATTTTATGCTTGGCCACTTTCCTGCACTATTTGTGTTCAAATATTCAGATTGGACTATGGTTCTTACTGTAATCAGGCTGTTTCCTATGTGCAAACTTTAACTGGTTAAAGGCAAAACTGTTTGATTTTTATTTTTTGCTTTATGTTTTAATGTTTTCCTTCAAGCTGTTTTTTTCTCAGTCATTTACACACACACACACACACACACACACACACACCTTATTGTAAAGTGTTACCAAATAGTTTAAGTATCATATCAGATTTGTATGTCTCATATAGTATGCTATTAGACAATGTGGAGCTCACTCTTGAGGAGGAAAAACACTGATGCACGTGAGGAGCGAAGGCTAGCCCGTCTGGTCAGATCACACAGAAGAGCTACTGTAGCTCAAATTGATGAAAAACTTGTTAATCATGTTAAACAATGTTCAAAAAAAATGTTGATCATAATTGAAAGTCACATTTTCTTTTAAACCAGGTGAAGCTGTGTGTGTCCTTTACCTGGGGAAGAGATGGCAGCATGCAGGACACACTATGGGAAGAATGTTGGATACTCAAAAATTAAGTATAAGAGAGAAACAACTCAGAAAATTGCTTAAAGAAAGTTGGAGAAGTAGGACAAGCAGGGCAAGCATGTGAAGTAACAATCACAAAACCTGTCATCATCAGATCCTTACAGTCTCATAGGAGCATGATATATATAAAAACGTGAGTGTGTTTCGGTGAGCAAGTCCCACGTCACCATTTGCTCATGAAATTCAGTCATAATCTTGGCTAAGAAAATCAGTAGGAGCTTTACTGTCAAAACAAGAGTTTGAAGGCAAAGATATGAGACATTCGTCCGCTGACACTCCCTTTTTTAGTGCTAGACAGACTATTGTTAGTGCTTCATTTAAATTCACAAAAACAAACATTTAAACCTTTTTATAAAGCATTTTTATTTGCCATTTCAAAAAATGGTACTTTAGGTAATTTAGGTTCATTAATGTAACAGATTTACAGTGATTTGGTTTGACAGATGTATTACATTACATGC